TTAGTTCTTGAATCCATTGCCACGAACCTACCTTTATTCATACACAGAAGATGCTCTTTTGACAGGCCTGCTCTGCTTTTAGCAGATACTTGCCAGCCAGGTTTTTGCGGAGTGGGTAGCCCATTAATGTGAGAAATCTATCTATTTACAGGATTTGCAGGTTTTTGAAGGATATTGTGAAAGGTTTTTCCAAGATACTCCTTTCTGCTTCAGAGAAAATCGCTCTGTGAACTCAAATGAAGTGTCCTCCCCCCAGAGGCGTAGGAAGGTCAGGTGGTACTCGGTGCGGAAAATTTCTTGTCACCCCCCCATTGAATTTATTATTTTAATTTATTTATTTTATTTTTTTGGCCTGCAAAAATGGTTTAACATTTCTTATTTTCTTACAAAGGAATGTGGATTCTGGCCTCTGATAACAAGTAGGCGACTATGTACAGATACTTAAATCTACAGGATGGACTGCATTTTGGCTTGTGTTATTTTATTTATATTTATTGTTTCTTTATTTAATAAAATTTATCTTAAAAAACTGCAAAGTGGTTTACCAAAACAAAAAACCACCACAGCTGTAAAATCAAGAAAAATTAACAATCCTACTTTAAAACATACAAGAGCTAAAATATTAAGATTAAAATTACTTCAACTTCCTAAGCATCTAGGTGTGCTTGCCTGAAGAAGAATGCTTTTAGCAGGTGCCCGAAAAGAGTCTCGCAGAGGCATGTGCTTTGTTGCAATAGGCGGGGAGTTCCAAAGTGCAGGTGCTGTCACAGTAAACAATGCAGTACAGGTATTTATGTGGAACCTGTAGTAGTGCTGGAAACTACTGAAAGGGAGGTTTTATTTATTGTGATTTCACCATGCTCTGTATTATCTGAAAAGGAAAACATTTGTTTAAAAAACAGGACTGCACAGCAGCAATCTAGTCTCAGCATGATCAGTGGGACTTATTCCCGAGCCGACGGCGCATAAGATGGGCTGCAATCCTAAGCACCCCTTGCATCCAACTTGTACCTAAAACTCTGCACAAGCCTGCACCAGAGAAGTGTAGAATTGGAAGGGACCCCTGAGGGTCATCTAGTGAAACCCCTGAGGCAATGCAGGAATCTCAACTAGGCCATCCCTGACCAATGGCCACCCATCTTCTGTTTTTCCCCTCAGCCAAGACAACAACGGAGACTGGAGGTGGGGGGGAAAAGATAAATTTTGACAATGGGGCAGATTTGTCAGGCATGCGCAGGAACAGCTTGAAGACTTTACACAGAGAGGAACCCCACACGGGTTTCCCCACATGTAACGTAACAGGCTGAGAGCCAGCTCAGATAAAGAGAAAGACATTGGGGGACGGGAGGACAAAAGAGTACCAAAGTCTGCCCATTTTATCCTCTTTGGGATGGTGGCACTAGGGCTCTGGGACCACCCTCCTCAAAATATTTGCTTGTCTTCAGTGTATTGTTATCACTGTTGTTCTATACAGTGGTGCCTCGCAAGACGAAATTAATTCATTCCGCGAGTTTTGTCGTCTTGCGATTATTTTCGTCTTGCGAAGCACGGTGTCGGGAAAGTTTTGGAAAAGCTTCAAAAATCACCGAAGTCTTTAAAAACCTTCAAAAAAGGCTACCACACCGCGTTCTATGAGTTGCTCCTCGAAGTGAAGTCACAACTGTATTAATGGTGTTAAGAAAAAGGAAACAAACTTGCAAGACGTCTCCGTCTTGCGAAGCAAGCCCATAGGGAAAATCGTCTTGCGAAGCAGCTCAAAAAACAAAAAACCCTTTCGTCTAGCGAGTTTTTTGTCTTGCGAGGCATTCGTCTTGCGAGGTACCACTGTAGTACACTTTCTCTAAAATTAAACGGCAGAAGTAATCAGTAGCATAGATATCAAAGGAAAGGCAAGAGAATAGTCCCTAATAAATACAAGGAAGGCACAGATACACAAGCACACAGAAATAAATAATCCAGCCTTGGGGAGAGGGGTGGGAATGTACAGTTTTGCTGTACTTAGCCTCGAGATGGCAGACTGAAAGGGCTTTAAAAATAAAATCTTGTGTCTAGGAATATTTTTCTGCAAAAGCATCAGACTAGTTGTCAAAAGTGTGAACTTCATTAATAGACCCTATTTAAAGGAATTGTTCAATTAGCCACAGAATTGCTTTTGCTGATTTCCCCCACCTTCTTTTAATTACACAACTGCTTTTGGGGGGTGTTAGCTTCATGTAGGTAAGACTGGGTATGTGGCTGAGAGGGTGGGGATCCTACCTTCATCCAGAGGAGGCTGAGGAAAAGGGGAGGCTGGCCTGCTGAGTGCCCAGGGCGGCGCTGAGCTGCTCCTCCCGGCACCACGTGCAGGCAAAATGAGGCGGCAGTGCTGCCATTGTCCCATGCGCTCCACTTTTGGGGGCAGCAGATGCTTTTCAGATGGGGATTGGGGCCCAAAGGGGGTGTGCAGGCCAGGCAGCGGCCTTGGCAGGCTTCCCCAGCAGCCCAGAAAGTCAGCCTATGTGAAGAAAATGAGACTAGGCCAAATAGAATTAGCCTTGCCTTGCCTTTGCCCCGCCTCCAAACCCAGCTGGCCCAATCAGCTGCAGGTAGTGGGTGGGCCAAGGCAAGGCAAGGCAAGGCCTAATCTATTCGGCCTAGTCTCATTTTCTTCACATAGGCCGATTTTCCAGGATCCGGAAAGCCTAGCGGAGGGTAGGGCAGTAGGGCGGTTCATAAAAAGCTTTTTTGAAAACGCCTGCTCCAAAGTCTTATCTTACTAACTAGGGGTTATATAGCTGTATCTGAAATTTCATGCATATCAGTTAATATCTTGACCCTGCTCCACTGAATTGAAATTTCAGCCTTCAGGACATAGGAAAACAGCCAAGTAACAGCTATTTTCGTGGAGGAGGGTCAAGATATTAACTGATATGCATGAAATTTCATATATAGCTATATAATCCCTAGTGTAGTAAGATAAGACTGCTGCCAAGGAGTGTGGTGGAGTCTCCTTCTTTGGAGGTCTTTAAGCAGAGGCTTGACACCCATATGTCAGGAGTGCTCTGATAGTGTTTCCTGCTTGGCAGGGGGTTGGACTCGATGGCCCTTGTGGTCTATTCCAACTCTATGATTCTATGATTCTAAGACCTTTGGAGCAGGCATTTTCAAAAAAAAAGTTTTTTTATGAACCGTCCTGGTAGGGCAGTAATTGTTCCTTGATAATTTGTTACCTCCCTCTATGATGGCACCTAGGGTGCCCCCCCCCTACACCCCTGCTCCCCCCCTCGTTTTTAAAGAATATTTCCTAATTTCTGAAGCGTGAAGGATTGCTTTTCTGTGGAGTGTGCGTCTGCTACGTGTTCACCTTAGAATTTGCGTAACACTGACACCCCCAGCTCCTAATATTTTGGACCACAGCTCCCATCAGCCCTAGGGAGCATGTGTCAATTCCCTATACCCAGCAGTTGATCCTTCTGCCAGATAAACTTGACTCTGGAAAAGGTAGGTTTTTTATTTCTTGGATTATTAGGAAAGCATCTGAAATTAACTGCCCATGTCACGATGTCCTTATGTGCATCTGTGATGCAACCAGACTTGAAATAATGTGCATAGGTCATGGAAACTCTCACCCATAATGATTGTGGGGCAGGAACATCTTCCCTGTAACTTACATGTGTGCTGAAAAGAGCTCTATTCTGAAATGTCAGGTGGCACAAGGGTAGGGGTGGCTGGGCCCAAGGTCCTGAAATTCTCTGGGCCAACCACCATTCCAGTTCATTTCCAGACTCATTGGGGGAAAGACTTTTCTAAAGACCAAATTGCACATGGCATTATTCACACTGTTAACTGTTGCATGATAATTATTGTTTGTTTCTTTTTGAAAATTAATGAGGGAGGGAGATTTAGACCACCTTGTGCAGAGGGAAGGCTTTAACCATTTACCCCATAATGTTCACAATTGGAATTAGGTCTACCACACTTGCTCTTTGCAACAGGAGAAAAGCTGTGCTATTTATTTTCCCCAAAGGTATAAATGACATGATATAAACACCCTATCTATGGCACAGCCACAACTACTGCTTAAATTGTATTTTGATTTTTTTGCATATTGATTAATTCCCCTGGGACTGTAAGCTTTTTCTTCTTGTTCCGCAGCTGTGCCTTGCAAAAATCCAATCTTAGCCACCGAATTTAAGCTTGGCAAAATCCCTCAGGTTGTCTGCGCTTCTAATAAGACCCAATTCAGTGGCTAAAATTTGATTATTTGCAAAGCACAGCCACAGAACATCGAGAAAAGGTCTTGTAATAGGGGGATTAATCAGTGCATGATAGGGTCAAAATATGGGTCAAGCAAAGGTATGGATGAGCCCTTGAGCCTTTGAGAGGCAAGCAGAAGAAGAGAACGTTCTACGTGGCTGTGGATGCTTTTCTGCACATACACATACGTTTGCAGAAATAGGATGCTTCAGACACCAAGGCAACTCTTATCTAAAGTGTCACCACACATCTATATGGAAGTCCTTATTTAAGTTCCACAAACTGTCTGGATCAAGTTGACTTGGGGCAGGGCAAAGCTGTTGCACATGACTAGAGATGGATCAGGCCTCTCCATATGGGAAATTTGAACATAAGAAGAGCCCTGCTGGATCAGGCCAATGGCTCATCTAATCCAGCATCCTGTTCATCCAGGTGCCCCAAACTACAAGCAGGACCTGAACACAAGAGCACTCCCCCACCCCCACCCCATGGTTCCCTGCAACTTATTCAGAAGCATTACTGCCTCCAACCCTGGAGGCAGAGCATGACATCGTGGCTAGCAGCCATTGGCAGTCTTTATCTTCCACGACTATGCCCAATCTTTTTAAAGACCTTCAAGTTGGTAGTAACCACTTCCTCCTGTGGCAGTGAGTTCCATAGTTTAACATCCTTTTTGCTGCCAGCGTAGTTCAGCTTTAAGCATGTGGAAACTAGTGAATTGGTGGCATACTTACCTAATCTGCCTTTTCTTTTTTTCCTTACAGAAAATGAAGCCTCTTGGACAGCGGAAGCGCTCAACGCCTGCTGCACTCAGCAAGGCACTCAGCATGTCTAAGCATCACTCCGGGTCAGCAACTTTCATTTGCAATCCCTCCTTAGTATGCGCACATGCTTGGGTTTTATTGCCTAGATCAGCCTTTGCCAAGCCTTAGCGTCATATGACCATACTGGGTAGAGCTGAGGGGAGTTGTCCAAAGCATATTGAGGGCACTAGATTGGCAGTGGCTGGCCTAGAGTGATGGGGACTGAAATTACCAATATTCTCCCAGTCCAAATGTCCAGCATTCTATTATCTTTTTTTAGCGGGGGGTGCCACTTGAAAGATTTATATACCCCCTGACATTTAATAAAGAAACAAGCTTGAAAGTGGTTTACAAAGAGAACAAAACAATAAACATATTAAGAAAATCTGTTAAAAACAGCTATTCAAAACTTTTCAAAGAATAATTAAACTTACGGATAAGATATGAACAGATCAAAGCACATTGATAGGTTTGCCTGAACAAAAATGTTTTTAACAGGTGCTTAAAAGAGAGTACAGCGAAAGTGATTTAAACAGGCAGGGAGTTCCATAGGGTAGGTACTGCCACACGAAATGCTTGAGTTCTTACAAATGGTGTGATGTGGCACCTGTAACAGGATCCAGTGCTGCAGATCAAGTGTGTGTTAATGGGGTAAGGCAATCTGGCAGATAAACTCACCTCCAGTTGTAAAGGGCATTGTACTGTATACTACAAGTTCAAGCTGTTAAGGGCAACAGCTTGAACTTGGCCCAGCAGCAGATTGGCAGCCAGCACATACCATCTTCCTCTTGTCAGCAACTGTGCTGCAGCATTCTGCACTAACTTCAGCTTCCAGATCAAGTGCAGGGGAAGCCGCACACAGCAGTAATTCAGTACCAGTTCCTCAGGTCAAAGCGAACAAGAGGGCATAAATAGGTAGTGCAATCGCATAAGTAAACTGGCAAATTTTAGGCAGATCCAAGGCAACTGATCACATAGGAAAGTGAGGTCTGGATTGTGCCTACTGGCCTCACCTCCAAATCTCTGCAATTTCACCTAGATTTATTCACAGAGGCTGTGTGCCAGGGTTGCAGACCCTGTGGCTTTCCAGGTATACTGCAGCTCAATTTTTTTGTTTTTGTTTAAAAAATCTGTTACAGTCATTTGACCACGTGCAATCTTAAGGGCACTGGACATTTAACTGCTGATTAGTTTTTTCTCTGCCCCCACCCCATTAATTCACAGGAGTGAAAACAAAAGAGCCCTAGTTCCCATAGGGCCACTGTGGAGGTCGCCCTGACCTCCCCCATCCTTCCAGGTTTCCTCTTTCCTGCACCAAATTACATTCAATTTGGCTTAGCAAAGGCCGTTTTCTAGAAGAGACTTGTTGGCGATGCTGGACATTCCACAGAAGAAGCAGTGAGAGAGGAAACAAAAGTGCGTTGCTCTTCCTCTCCTGAAGGCAACTTCTAGGTCTCCCTGGAAAAGCGGAGGTGGGCATTTCCTCCGAGGGTGCAAAGTTCTCTTGATGTGGGTCAGGGTGTGCTTCTGTTCCCTTCAGATGATTCCTAGAAACATGAATCACTTCCTCTCTCTTGCTGCTTCTGTTGAAAAATCTAGAGTGGTCACCACGGTTTATTGCAAGGCTGTTCTAAGTATATGGAGAAATATTATCCATAACTTTCCCATTGCAAAACTGAATGAACGCTGCCCGTCTCTTGATAAATCTGTCCTGCCAAATGCAGTGGTACCTTGGTTTGTGAACTTAATCCGTTCCAGAAGTCCGTTCTTAAACCAAAGCCATTCTTAAACCGAGACACACTTTCCCTAATGAGGCCTCCCGCTGCCGGTATCCTTCCACCGTTCAGCTTCCGTTCTTAGACCGAGGTAAAGTTCGTTAACCGGAACACTACTTCTGGTTTTGCAGAGTTCTTATACTGAATAGTTCGTAAACAATTCTTAAGCCGAGGTTGCACTGTACTGCTTTGTGATCTTATTTTATAGGTCCATTTAGTCATTAATGTTATTTCCAAAATTTCAGAAGTAAGAAGCACAAATTTCTAGTGGATGGCAAATTTGTAAATTTATTCCAAACTTTGCTTTGCACAAAATGGAACACTAAACACCCCCACCCCTTCCCCATATGTAACAGAATGGATGAGAAAATAATTTGGAAGGAACAACTATCATTGTTACTTGAGGCCTAGATGACATTGTTGGCTTTCCTGGGTAGAAGACCTTCAAGTTAGTCTACTGAAATCCAATCTACTTGGGCCTGCCTTAGAAGACAGTCCAGAAATTGCAGCTACTGCAAAATTCAGCAGCCCAGAGTGCTTATGGGAGTGGCAGACTAAGCATATCCATTGTGAAAAAAAACTTCACTGGTTGCCACTTGTTTTCCGGACCCAATTTGAAGGACTTATACTTATGTAAATCAAACCATCTGAAGGTTAGGGACTTCTCATGCATGTGAAGACTGGTTCCGGATGGACTGAGTGGACGAGACTAATAGTGGGTCTAGTGGCCAAGAAGGCAGTTTCTGCATGTGCTGTAAAGGGAAGTGAGGGGCTGATGGGACTTGTCAACCTGGGAAGAGAGCCCGTCCAGGAGAAGGAAAACTCTGATCCTAAACCTCCCCTGCCTTGAGGGTCATCTTCAGGAGAAGAAAAGGCTAAGGAAATCCCTACACAAATCCAGAATGGTGTCCATAAGACAGTTGGATGGCGCCTTGCATGCCTTCTTTCGGGGGGAGGGGGGCTAGCTAAGTTCCTGCCCCTCATTGCATGAGGGGAATTTGTGCCTGAGCCTTCTGGACTTTTCAAAAGAACAGCAAGCCCAAACAGCTGTCTCTTTAATAGGGAATAAGTTATCACAGAGTTTGGGAGTTTGGAGACTCCCTCACCCCCACCAGCAATGAGATGATGGATTCTAGAAGGCCATGCTCTCTGTCATTCCTGTTCCAAAGATGCCCTCACAAATAACATTTCCTGCCAGTTTATTTAATTGAAATAAATATTTTCTTTAAAGCCAAGATAAAAAACTTTAATGATTTACACTTCGAACCAAGCAAGCCTTTATGGGAACACTATTTTTCATTTAGCACCATACTATAACCCCTCTGCTTTGGGGAAATGATTTGTGCAGCTTCCAGCATGGTTTTTATCTGAGAGGAATTCTTGCACTGGCTGCCACTGAGAAGGCCTTTCCTTCTTCCAGCTTTCTCCATTTTCTGCAAGCGACTCAAATGGGAGAAACACATTCTTGGCTTTATTTGGATGCAGGGAAGAATGTCTTTTTGCAGACTAGGCAGAGGGCAAAGAGGGGGCACTTAACATTTCCTGGGTTGGCCTGACCCTGGGAATTTGTCACAACGTCACTGGTGATTTGTAGGTTCGCGTATTATTAGTTCCCTTGCATTGCATTTTTTAAAGAACAAGATTAGATAGATTTTGGCCACATCTACAAAACTTGCACAATTGCTGGTTCAAAGCGTTAATAGATGTTGGTGTTGGATTCTGATTTGGAAATAATTAGTTTGGGGGGAGGAAGCGAGTAAGAGGCAAAATGATAGAAGTTTGTAAAATTATGCATGGCATAGAGAAAGTGGATAGAGAAAAGCTTCTCTCTCACTCTTGCGTAACACTTGAACAAAGGATTTGCTTTCATTATATGCTGGGGAGCAGCCCTGAGAAAGAAAAGAGGAAGGTGTCATGCAGATACAGTATTCTGGGAGGGAGTTCCAGGGGTAGGAAGGAGGGGCAGGTTCATTTAAAGGAGCAGGAGGTTTTCAGGTAGATAAAGGAGTGCTAAGAGTAAATGAACCAAGCTCCAGTAGGACCCTGGGTGGATCTGGTCAGGTTGGGTCTGAAGTGGATGCTTAGACTCCAGAAAGCACTAATTTTGTGTATCAGACCTGTATGGGTGATGGTGAGTCTTTCTTAATCAACCAATTTGGTATAAAATAATTAGGCAGTGTCAGTAACATTTTCCTGTTTTACAAACTAATATCTATTTGAAGTGATCATGTGGAACTTGATGATTTGACCTTTTTTTATTATTGAGCAGTTTAGAACTTTTATATTAGACCTTATATTGGAGGCTGACGACTTAAAGTGAATGCATAAGGCTATGGACCATAATCAGGATGCAAGCGAAGATTTATGCATCTCACTCTGTTTTCAGCTCCCTCAAGCTTGTAACAAATTGCCACCCCACCCCACCCCCACTCACCTTTCCCCCCCAAGAAAATCTTTAATAAAGATACATTTTTTAAAAAAACTAACTGACCTAACAAACTGACCCATTGCACTGGGGATAACTTGGTTCTGCCCCCAACAAAAAGCCTGCCCCCAAAAATAATAAATCCTGACTACACCCAACCTCTGGGATGAATTCACCTCTCAGCTGTCATCCACAAAGATCATTGTCTGAGAAACTTTGTAAGAACTAATGACCCCCATGGATGAGCAGCTAGCAGACATCAGTGTGAGGGTGAATACCATAGCTGTCAACTTTTCCCTTTTTTAAGGGTAATTCCCTTCTTCCAAATAGGATTCCTCACAAGAAAGGGGAAAAGTTGACAGCTATGGTGAATACTTTATTGGAGAATGCAGATTTGGTCAAGGAAATTGGTCTTGACATGAAAAGCAGATTCAATGCGTTCTTTTTTAAAAAATGTATTTTTATTAAAGATTTTCTTGGTTTACAAAAGTATGTGCAGTGGCTCTCTCTCTCCCCCCCACTACCCCAGTAACATTTTTTAACAGATCAGTTTCATTTGTTGAGACAATAGGGTGAAAAGGGGGTGGGGAGATGAGTGGGGGGGGGTCAGGTGGCGATATTTCTATTTTACTTAATATATGTGGGGTTTTGTGTCAGCGTTGCTTGCGCAGGTTCCCGTTAGGTCAGTTAGTTAAGTATTTTTATTTATTTACAGTCATACCTCAAATTGAATGTGCTTCGGATTGAGCGTGTTTGAGTTGCGCTCCGCGGCAACCCGGAAGTAACGGAGCACTTTACTTCCGGTTTTCGCTGCTTGCGCATGCGCAAATATTCAAAATGACATCACGTGCATGCACGGTAGCGGCGAAACACGATACGCGCGGACGCGTCATCATGTCTCACGTTCCGTTTGGGATGCGAACGGGGCTCCAGAACGGATCCCGTTCGCATCCCGAGGTACCACTGTACTTGATTTGGGGGGGTGGGACAGCTGCCCCCCTTACTACACCCATGTCCCAGAGACAGGGGCTGCCACTGCATCCCTGGTCTCCCACACTAATTGAATCTTCTGCCAAGTTGATAATGGCCTGATTGTGTTTTTGCAGCTGGCCTACCTTTTCTTATATCGGTCATGTGGTTTGAAGAAACCAGGAAGATTGTCTGATTTTATTTTTTGTGTTGATTCAGATTCACTGGCATACACAAAGCACGAAGAAGAGATTTATATCCAAAACATATGTGCAGGATCCGTTGGGTGAGAGGGGTTGTTTCTGGTGTTTGCCTGAGCTAAGGATTTAAGGGGCCACCTTCATCGGCATTGACTCCACTCCCCCATCACAACTCATTAGATAATTTCTCTTTTTCAGCAGGGAAGTAACTTGTCATCCCGTCCATTCAGACAATGGATTACCAGCCGGGGCTTTCGGTAATCCAAATTCTGTTTTCATTTTGGAGGAACAAGTACAGCTAACTGCAGGCTTACAGACGCAAGAGAGATGTTTGTTCCTCTTCAGCAATATGTTGGTTGTTGCCAAGTTCAAGTAAGTGCAGATTTGATCTACAAGGCTGTTAATGAAGTGGGTATTTCTTAGGAGTACCTTGCAAAGGTTACTTGCCCAGGTGTCTGTACTTGCTAATGGAACCTTCTTGAGTGTGGTCCATATGTGGCCTCTCTCTCCATTCTCAGAATTAAGCTAGCCATTGTTGCACCTCCAGATGTTGGTGGACTACAGCTCCTCTCACTGTTTGCCATGCTGGCTGCTGGGACTGCTGGGAGTTGGAGTCAAACAGCATCTGGAGGGCACCAGTCTGGTGCAAGAGCTTGCTTAGCTTATCATCAGGGGAGGAGGGCAGTGGTGAGCTTGAGCAAATCATATTTGGAAAACGGGTGTTTCCAGCTGTTTGTTGATGATTGTGGGATGGGCACATCTCACCCATGCAAAAAAATTTTTTTGCTACATCCACATAACTTTATTGGCACCAGAATACCTGCCTGTATTTTCCCTCCATTGAATCAGGATTTACCCTGCACATGGAAAATCTGACAAGTATTTTTTTTAATGCCAGCAATCTGCTTATGATATCTAAACGACCTGTTTGCAGAATTAATGAAGTCCTCATATGGAACACCCCAAGTTTCTAAAGTTCTTTTTCTTCATCTTTTAGGGTATTATTATTATTATTATTATTATTATTATTATTATTATTATTAAAAACTGGCCATTTTCTGAAATGGACCAGCAGGATAGAAATGTGCTATAAATCAGAATAAATAAATAGTCAAGTCCTGACTTTCTGATTTCTTCATAAAACAAGTTAAAAATGCAGCAAATATTCTTATGAAATTAGAACATGAGGGGCATAGGGTTGAGCAGGAGGGAGAAGCAGAATTAAAGAAATTGTGCAATATTTTGCCAGATTGGTTTTGTTACTGCTAAGTAAAATAACAACAAGGCTAATGACTCTTTTATGAAATGCCAGACCCCAACAGAATTGGGGAGACTTGGAAAACATCAGTCTCTCCCTATGCAAGGTTTTACTGGTGTGCAACAGAACAAATAATTGTGATTATTTTATCATTTGCTTTATTTGTTACAGTAATTTATATCTCACCATTCTACGAAAAAATTGTGCTCAAAGAATGTCACGATATGGTAAAATAAAACAGAAAATTTACAAGAATGAACAGATCGTACACTATTAAAAAGCAACAATTTAAAACATAATACATTCTTTAAAATTATGCTGGAAGAAAACAGCTTTCACTGCCTCCTGTGTAGATTTGGGAATTGACTGCTCCATTGGAGTCTTTTCTCTCATAAGGAGGAAATTTCTGGCCCCTGATTCCTGACCCCAACAACCACCATTCCCATTCATAAATCTGTGGGTCCAACCTGCTAACAAGGAGTGTGACTTCACTGGTGAATGTGTGTCGGGATGAATGAACCTGCCAGTTTCAGTTTCTCTTCATCTCTCATTTATCCAGTCTTCAAGTTCAGGTCTCTCTGCATTTGCACATCAGTTTCCGAGTTGCTGCTTTTAAAAGCCCTCATAAAACTTTGTCTGTATTTTAATGTATAATTTTCCTAATACAGTATACACAACTTGTATGCATTTTTGCCCTAGTAATGCATATTTTTATTAACAACCCCCCTATTGTAATGCACTTTTAAATGTTGTTTTCACTAACGTATGCATTTGTCCACATTTTCCATTAAAATGTGAGTTTTTGTGTACCTTATTTGATCGGAGAAATTGCAGCACAAAGTTCAGAGAAGTGTAATTCTTCTTTTTTTAACTGCATTCTGTTTTTAAAAGAATATATATTGTATTGCTTTTTCACATGTAATTTAAAAAATAACAACAGTAAGCAACAACAATAGCAGCAAGTCTGTCATTTCTTGGGGGGAAAGTGTGTCAGCAGTTGGAACCAGCAATTAGAACAAATCTGTGATGCATTTTAAAATCTCTAATCAAATAAGCCTCTCCAGATATTTCCATGGGGAAGTTGTGTCAAGAATTTTGTAGGATGGGTGTGTTTTTTGTCACATATTGTTTTGGGAAGAGTGAATCAGGAAGGTTTACCTTTAAGGCAAATTCAATCAAATTTTTCTCTCTCCCCTTATGGGTGGTTCAACAGTGGTCATAATTCAGGAGAAGTGAAGATAAATGGTGGGGAGGTCTATGGTGAGGATGCAGAAGAAGACATGGGCACCACATGCCGTCTTCCTCTTGCCAGCATTCTTAACATAACCTGTCTCTGGCTTTGGATCTAGGTCAACCTCCAACTTGAAAGTGAAGAAGCAGTTGCACCTGAGTAAGGTGTGGACAGGCAGCTGCCTCAGTGAAGTGTCGGAGAAAAGATTCACCCCTGAGACCTCCTTTGTGATTGGCTGGCCCACCACCAACTTTGTTGTCACTTATAGGTAACACCTTCTCTCAGAATTCATCATCTATGCCCCCTCCCCCCAAAAAAATCACCTCACATTTTCCTTAAACAACATCTGATGACAACACAGGTATGTAGAAGCTGACCTCCACCACCCCTCACTCACTAAGAATGTTTCCCAATCTTTCTTACTTTGTTTGGCTAATTTATTTACAAAAATTATCTCCCACAAAAAATTATCTCCCACAAAGATCTGTGCACAAAGTAGCTTATGATAATTTTAAACAACAGAATGTATAAGCAGTAATTTGAGACAGGTCAAAAGCTGTCAATGGCAAAACTACGATGGCAACAACAACAGGAGTAAAGAGTTAACAACATCAGTTTGAACCAGTATTATTAACATGGAGATTCATTAAGGATTGAATGGTAGTTTAGCTTCCTTTGAAATGTTTGAGATTTCCTGCATGAGGAGAAATCTCAAAATTCAACCATTCATTCATTCATTCATTCATTTACATCCTTTGGAACATACCATGAACATGACTTAAAATACAAATAAAATTCAGTTCTGGACACATCAAAAATCACACAAGGATTACTGTCTTCAAAGCACAGTATAAAGATAACCATTCTTACTATGATTCTTACTGTTACAGCATCAATAAGCAATGCTGAGTACCTCAGAGTAGCATCCTGAGATAGCTGCATTGCATCCTTAGTTTTCTTATTCTCACACGTTACAAAATCAGACCAATCTGACCCAATCAATCAAACCAACATTTCATTCTTTTTAGTCCCTCTAGACAACTTTATGTGTCAATTTATGATTTCTCATTTGTAAAATATTTGGGGGTCATACTTGCTCTTTCTTTCTCTTTTCCCCTTTGTGATGCGATTCCTGTAGCCACTTGACCTTTGAAATGATTGTGCCTATTTGTCCATTTCATGGCTAATTTCATAACAGAAATGCACAGAGTATACATGCTCTGTAATTCCCCCCCCCCAGCCTGTATCCCTCCAGATGTGGTTTGACTACACCTTCTGTTGGGTGTTGATGGGGGAAAGCTGCACCCAGCTGAGAGTGTCTGTTATCTGAAAATAGACAACATTCCCTCCTTTACATACTAATTCTTCACATAGCTATACTATGGGATTTGTTACCACAAGATGGAGTGATTGCCACCAACTTTGATGGCTTTAAAAAGGGGTTTAGACACCTTCATAGAGGATTTGACAAACAAAGGCACTACTCACAATGGCTGTGCTGTTCCTCCAGGGTCAGAGGCAGTATGGCTCTGAATACCAGTTGCTGGAAACACAGGAGTGGAGAGTTGCTCTTGTGCTCATGCCCTGCTTGCTGGTTTCCCACAGGCATCTGGCTGCTAAGAGAACAGGATGCTGGACTATAAATGGGCCATTGGCCTGATCCAGCTTCATGGCTCTAATGTTCTTAATGTAGAAAATAAATACCATATTTTTCGCTCCATAAGACGCACTTTTTCCCTCCTAAAAAGTAAGGGGAAATGTGTGTGTGTGTTATGGAGCGAATGCAGGTGGGAGGCTCTGCTCAGCACTCCCTTTAAAGAATATTTTTTTTCTTGCATTCCCCCTCTAAAAACTAGGTGCGTCTTATGGTGAGGTGCGTCTTATGGAGCGAAAAAATACAGTGCCTTTAATTCATTAAGTCACTATTCCATCACATCCACACCATATATTTAAAGCCAATGGCTTCCCCCAAAGACTCATGGGAGTTGTAGTTTTCCCACTCATAGCTACACACAGTTAAGAACTACCGTTCCCATGGTATTTGGTGAGGGTCATGTTTAAATATATGCATTAAATATATGGTGTGGATCAGCCCTTTATTCCTGCTTCAGCAAACAAGGTTGGCTGACATTTGCCCTACGCCCCCCTCAATATCTTCCTGATTGAAGCTAAAAATGTAAAATTTCTTTCCTCATCTCATCCAGGAAATAATTTCCTATTGGCCATTCAGGCTATTGGGGAGTCTCTGCTCTGCCGCGCATTGCAGGATACCTGACTAGAAGAATGACGACTCTTGGCATTTGCTTTTTACAGCCAATATATGTTTGGGCAAACCTTGGTACAGGTTCTGCATGTCTCATGTCATTGCAGGGAAATAGTTTCTAAGAATTGCAAGGCAAGGAAAGCAGACAAAGCAAGATATTAATTAGAGGCCGTAGCCCAACATGAAAAAGATGTTTGCTTCAAATGTCAGAACAAGGCACTTGCTCTCCGCCCCCTTATCAGAGCCTTGCTTCGCTTCGCCAGGAAATTGAGCTCAGCAGCACAAGAAAATTATTTTACTAAAATAGAACAGGAAGGGGCTGTGCTTTTGTACTGGGCCTTTGTCAGAAGGGACAGTGATTTATAGTTCTGTATATCATCTATGGCAGTGGTAACAAAGAAAGGGGGGAAACTTCCCCAGCCTGAGAGCCACATTATTCTCTGGATCATCTTCTGGGGGCCACATGCCACTGGCAGGCAGGGCTAGAGGCAAAAGTGGATGGAGCAATGAATGTGACTTTTACCCTTCATATGGAAGGCTACAATCCAGCCAGACAAGAAAGAGATTTCTATGGAGGAGGTTTCTATTCATCAGTGACTGCTAGCCATGATGGCCAAGCTCGGCTTCCATGGTTGGAGGAAGTAATGCTTCTGAAAACCAGTTGCTGGAAACCTCAGGAAGAACTTGAGTGCTCCTCTGCTTGGGTTTTGCTCAAGGGTTTCCCACAATGAGCACCTGGTTGGTCACTGTGAGAGTAGGATGCAGGCCTAGATAGGCCCCCTTTGGCCTGATCCAGCAGGCTCTTCTTATGCTGTCATGGAAACCACAGGAGGGGGAGAGTGCTATTGTTCTCAAATCCTGTCTGCTTGTCCCCCACAGGGAACTGGAGGGCCACTGTGAGAAGAGAATGATGGACTAGATGGACCATTGGCCTAATCTAGCAGACTTTTCTCATGTTCTTAGGCACACACATCTCAGCCTCTGAGACATTATCACAGTTCACCCACGCAAAAGCACTTGAGGAGCAGGGCCTGGCAAGGGGTGGGGCCTCTGGAGGGTGAATAGCATAGAGAGAGTCCCAAGGGCCACAGTTGGCCCCCGAGGCCACAGTTGTTCCCCACCCCTGTTGCAGCCAGAGGACTTTTGATGCTTTCTTACCATTGTGTTTACTACTCATTTTCAGATCGCCTGAAGTGAAGGACAGGTGGATGTCAACACTGCTGTGGTAAGAGTTGCATTCTTTTTGTCTGCAGCAAGGATGCCACGTGGCGTAAAGGTAGGAGTGGCATTGTGCCATGGTGGCCTGCCTGTGGCATCTAGTGGCCCTTGCCATGGTTGCTGCCTGCTCCCCACAAAAGCAGGCTAGAAGCAGGGCTACCTCCATCAGTTCCATTGTGGCAGGCCAGCCTCATCAGGCCTCATCTCCCCTCAGCTTGGCACCTGAGGGCAACTGCCATTCCCTCAGGCTGACTCAGTGGGAGAAATGGGAAGCAGAAGGCTCATTCCATCAGCTTTGCCAAAAGCCCAGATCCATCAGGCACCTCCTCCCCCTGAACTGTTTCAACTGTTTAGAAATCAATACTGAGTTTGAAATTTAATTTTCTTCTTCCCTCCCCATCCCTTTTTCCTTGTATGTCATGCTTTTAGGTCTTTAGGTTGTAAGCCTGCAGGCTGTTTTGAATGTAAGCTGCTGTGGGAACCTTTTTGACTGAAGAATTGGGTACACAAGTTATAGATAGATAGATAGATAGATAGATAGATAGATAGATAGATAGATAGACAGACAGACAGACAGACAGACAGACCAACTGGAAGAGGGAGGAGGGAATGTGTTGGGTCTATAATGTGCCTCAGAGAGTACTGTCTTATACTTTATCAGTGTTCTACTTTGATCCCATTTAGCCACTATTCAGGTGTTCATTCACAAGGATAGCCAACGTCCTGCAGCCTGCAAAGCAGGCTCATCGGCCCCCGGGGAAGATGGGAGTTGTAGTTCCACAATATTAGGAGGACATCTTTTTAGCTACTGCCACATAGGAAACACATGGGAAGGGTGGCATTGCAGTGACAGGCAGCACCCTAGACTAACATGCATCCATTAAAACAGGAATCAGGAACCATTTTCAGCCTGAAAGCTACACTCCTGCTGTGTGGGTAGCTGCATGCCAGGGCTGGGCGTGGCCAGAGATGAAAGTGGGTGGGGCTTTACCTTTGTGCAGTAGGTTACATTCCTGGCAAACAGAAATCAGAGGTCTTGAACATAGCCACATACCCACACATGTGTAAAGCATTATCACGGCCCCAGGACCACATTCCAGCCAGGTAAATGTTCTTGATGCAGGACTGCTCTGAGGGGTACAACCTGAGGAGAGGTGTCGTGGGCTGAGCGGGGTCCTCGGGGCTTGAGGTTCTCCACCCCTGTGTTAGAACCTCTGAAGGGAGCTACTGAGTGTGCACAGGACTTAAATGGCATGGAGATCCTTGAGTGAAATCAACCCCACCCCAAAAAGTAGTCTCCCCAAAATGGTCTGTAGCAGTGTTTTTAGTGCCTTTCTCTGCATGCCCCAGTAACTATACACCTTGTGGTTTGTTTTCTTAATGGTAAATTTATGAATTGCAGGCACATCAATGAAGTGAAGCAGGCTGAGTATCCCAAAAGCATACCCATGCAGATTTTGTTGATGGACGGTGACCACAGCTCCTCTGTGAGTAACAGTGGGAAAAATAGCCTGGCCTATTAGGTTGGTCCTGTTCTTCAGTACCGCCGTATGTGGCAGTGCTTAGTCTTGATTTTCAATCTACAGTGGTTTTAAGGCTCTATGTTACCTGAGCAGAACCTAAATGTGTTTTTTATTCTTTGTGTCAAGAGCACTGCAATAATCGTCTCCAATGTAGAAACAGCAGAGCATGTCATCAAGAGGACCACTGAGAAGCTGGGACTTCCTGTAAGTGCAAAATTTATTTCCTTTTAGAAATGGCTCAGCAGTACTGCATTATTATTTTTACTAGGTGTGAGGCGGAGGGTGGGAAGATGAAGTCACTTGAGCTTTCCTAAGTGTAACTGAGGCAAGGGATCCACTCATGCCCAAGAAGCAAATAGACTGGAGAAGGGATCTGGGCCACATGCTTTTGCATTCTACATTTAAAAAAATTAAGGAGGTATTAATGAACAGGATATTATTTATCTAGACTTACTGTGTATGCATTTTATTTGGGGGGGTATACTGGGTTCTGAGAAGGAGTGGAAAATAAGCACTAAAAGTGAATATGCATGATTTTAATAAATACATAATTATGTCAACTGTAGGGTTGTAAAATACAGATTGGTTCTTTTATGACCAACATATTCACATGAATGCTTGGGTTTCACCCCTTAGTATAAGACATGAGTGTTGCAAGTTGTAGACAAAGCCATTGATTTCTATGGCTTTGCAAGCATTCCTCCATGAGAAAATTGGTAATGTCAGTTAATATTCCCTAAAACTCTCTCCCCCTGCTTTCCAAATCACACCTAAACTTTGCCACTGCTAAGGAAGGCAGTCTGGGAGGCACAAGGGTGAATTCTCAGTTCATACAGAGCAAGTGGCTGTAACTCGTGGTCAAACCTTTTGCTCTGGAGCATGTCCCAGAATCCCTCTATAATGTACAGGGGTTCCTTGAGAAAAGAAGAGTTTGAAAGCCACTGGCCTCATCCCTTGCCACCTAGGCAAAATATACTAGTTTATAATTAGACTGTGGTGTGCTAAAATGTGCCATGTATATAATGACTCAAGACATGTTCATTGGCCTGACTCGCATGCTTTTCAAGTCTTTTGTGTGGATATTGCATCCATTTCCAACCTAGAGCATTAGACAAATTTGTGGAGAAGGAGGAGGAGGCTACCGCTGCCTGCTAGCCATGATGGCTGTGCTCTGCCTCCACTGTCAGAGGCCGTAACGCTTCTGAGTACCAGTTGCTTGAAACTACAGGAGGGGAGAGTCCTCTTGCTCTTGGGTTCCTCTTGCAGGCCTCCCCACTGATGCATCTGGTTGGCCACTGTGAGAAGAAGATGGTACTAGATGGGCCATTTGCCTGCTCCAGCAGGCTCTTCTTATGTTCTTATGTAAGCCGCTGCTGTCCAGATGCATGGCTGTGCTGGTTGGGGCTGATGGGAGTTGTAGTCCAAAACATCTGGAGGGCACCAGATTGGGGGAGGCTCCTGTAAAGTTTCAGCTTTGACTTCTTTCTGTCTGACTGCCTTCCCCTTTCCTCAGCTGTACTGTTCCGCTTCCTCTGAATGTCAGACATGCTGGTCACTCTGTTGTATTCCATCAGGTTTGCAGCCCTGCATTTCCTGATCCTCCCTTCACCACCTGCTGCCTGGGCTTCATTGCCTGGTATCCCCTTCTGTTGTTTTGCATCCCCTTTTCCCAGCTTCTCCAGTCCTTCATTCTGCCACCTCATTTCTTTCTGTTTTTCAATCCACAGGGCCGGCCAAGAGACTATCTCCTTTGGGTAATACCAGGAAGGGACAATAATGCTTACCCCACTTATCGGTAAGAGCTCTTGCTTTCTTGAGTGAACATAGATAATTCAGTATTAATTAATGTCAAAATGAATATTTGTAAGTCCTTCTGATGTGAGTGGCATCTTACCCTTTCATTTCTGTGGAGTGAAATTGTTGTTCCTTTTATCATCCAGGACATTGCACTCTGTGAGGCAGTGTAATGCAGCAGCAAAAAAACAAAACACAACAACCCTAATTCAATTCTAGGTTACATCAGCAGAAGTTGAGTGTCCAGATCAAGGGAAGTAATAGTCCCGCTCTGTTTTTGCCTTGGTCAGACCACACTTGGAATACCGTGTCTAATTATGGGCACCACAATTTAAGAAGGATGTTTATAAGCTGGAACATGTGCAGAGAAGGGCAACCAAGATGATCGAGGTTCTGGAATCTAAGCCTTATGAGGAACAGTTGAGGGAGCTGGGTATGTTCAGCCTAGAGAAGAGAAGATGGAGAGGTGATATGATACCCCTTTTCAAATATCTGAAGAGCTGTCACATGGAAGATGGAGCAAGCTTGTTTTCTGCAGCTCCAGAGGGTTGGACCCAAACCAAAATACAGCAGGTTAAGCTCTTATGGCCAGGACTTGTATAAACAGGGTGTTTGTGAGGGCATTTAGTGGAGGAGTTTGAGGGGGAAGCCTGAATTCCATCTCACAGCATATGTATGACTAAGAGACACAAACAGTGAACTGCAACACCTGTGCCATGTTTGCCTTCTGTCTATGAACGTGCAAAATCATACATGACAGATGGCCATCCAACCTCTGCTTCGAAACGGTCAGGGAAGGAGAGCCCACCACTTTCAAAGGAGAGTCTGTTCCACTTCCAAACAGCTCTTACTGGCAGAAAAGTCAGAATGTCCTGTAGTGTAACTGTTTGGAATGTCCTTTATTGTATGTCATGCAGGGAAATAGTTTCTAAGAATTGCAAGGCAAGGAAAGCAGACAAAGCAAGATATTAATTAGAGGCCGTAGCCCAACATGAAAAAGATGTTTGCTTCAAACGTCAGAACAAGGCACTTGCTCTCCGCCCCTTATCAGAGCCTTGCTTCGCTTCGCCAGGAAATTGAGCTCAGCAGCACAAGAAAATTATTTTACTAAAATAGAACAGGAAGGGGCTGTGCTTTTGTACTGGGCCTTGTCAGAAGGGACAGTGATTTATAGTTCTGTATATCATCTATGGCAGTGGTAACAAAGAAAGGGGGGAAACTTCCCCAGCCTGAGAGCCACATTATTCTCTGGATCATCTTCTGGGGCCACATGCCACTGGCAGGCAGGGCTAGAGGCAAAAGTGGATGGAGCAATGAATGTGACTTTTACCCTTCATATGGAAGGCTACAATCCAGCCAGACAAGAAAGAGATTTCTATGGAGGAGGTTTCTATTCATCAGTGACTGCTAGCCATGATGGCCAAGCTCGGCTTCCATGGTTGGAGGAAGTAATGCTTCTGAAAACCAGTTGCTGGAAACCTCAGGAAGAACTTGAGTGCTCTCTTGCTTGGGTTTTGCTCAAGGGTTTCCCACAATGAGCACCTGGTTGGTCACTGTGAGAGTAGGATGCAGGCCAGATAGGCCCCTTTGGCCTTATCCAGGCTCTTCTTATGCTGTCATGGAAACCACAGGAGGGGGAGAGTGCTATTGTTCTCAAATCCTGTCTGCTGTCCCCCACAGGGAACTGGAGGGCCACTGTGAGAAGAGAATGATGGACTAGATGGACCATTGGCCTAATCTAGCAGACTTTTCTCATGTTCTTAGGCACACACATCTCAGCCTCTGAGACATTATCACAGTTCACCCACGCAAAAGCACTTGAGGAGGCAGGCCTGGCAAGGGGTGGGGCCTCTGGAGGGGAATAGCATAGAGAGAGTCCCAAAGGCCACAGTTGCCCCGAGGCCACAGTTGTTCCCCACCCCTGTTGCAGCCAGAGGACTTTTGATGCTTTCTTACCATTGTGTTTACTACTCATTTCAGATCGCCTGAAGTGAAGGACAGGTGGATGTCAACACTGCTTGGTAAGAGTTGCATTCTTTTTGTCTGCAGCAAGGATGCCACGTGGGCTAAAGGTAGAGTGGCATTGTGCCATGGTGGCCTGCCTGTGGCATCTAGTGGCCCTTGCCATGGTTGCTGCCTGCTCCCACAAAAAGCAGGCTAGAAGCAGGGCTACCTCCATCAGTTCCATTGTGGCAGGCCAGCCTCATCAGGCCTCATCTCCCCTCAGCTTGGCACCTGAGGGCAACTGCCATTCCCTCAGGCTGACTCAGTGGGAGAAATGGGAAGCAGAAGGCTCATTCCATCAGCTTTGCCAAAAGCCCAGATCCATCAGGCACCTCCTCCCCCTGAACTGTTTCAACTGTTTAGAAATCAATACTGAGTTTGAATTTAATTTTCTTCTTCCCTCCCCATCCCTTTTTCCTTGTATGTCATGCTTTTAGGTCTTTAGGTTGTAAGCCTGCAGGCTGTTTTGAATGTAAGCTGCTGTGGGAACCTTTTTGACTGAAGAATTGGTACACAAGTTATAGATAGATAGATAGATAGATAGATAGATAGATAGATAGATAGATAGAGACAGACAGACAGACAGACAGACAGACCAACTGGAAGAGGGAGGAGGAATGTGTTGGGTCTATAATGTGCCTCAGAGAGTACTGTCTTATACTTATCAGTGTTCTACTTTGATCCCATTTAGCCACTATTCAGGTGTTCATTCACAAGGATAGCCAACGTCCTGCAGCCTGCAAAGCAGGCTCATCGGCCCCGGGGAAGATGGGAGTTGTAGTTCCACAATATTAGGAGGACATCTTTTTAGCTACTGCCACATAGGAAACACATGGGAAGGTGGCATTGCAGTGACAGGCAGCACCTAGACTAACATGCATCCATTAAAACAGGAATCAGGAACCATTTTCAGCCTGAAAGCTACACTCCTGCTGTGTGGGGAGCTGCATGCCAGGGCTGGGCGTGGCCAGAGATGAAAGTGGGTGGGGCTTTACCTTTGTGCAGTAGGTTACATTCCTGGCAAACAGAAATCAGAGGTCTTGAACATAGCCACATACCCACACATGTGTAAAGCATTATCACGGCCCCAGGACCACATTCCAGCCAGGTAAATGTTCTTGATGCAGGACTGCTCTGAGGGGTACAACCTGAGGAGAGGTGTCGTGGGCTGAGCGGGGTCCTCGGGGCTTGAGGTTCCACCCCTGTGTTAGAACCTCTGAAGGGAGCTACTGAGTGTGCACAGGACTTAAATGGCATGGAGATCCTTGAGTGAAATCAACCCCACCCAAAAAAGTAGTCTCCCCAAAATGGTCTGTAGCAGTGTTTTTAGTGCCTTTCTCTGCATGCCCCAGTAACTATACACCTTGTGGTTTGTTTTCTTAATGGTAAATTTATGAATTGCAGGC